ACAATAGCTCCTGCTTTAAGGGCCACACCATTCCAGCTATACTGAAGCCTTTCTCCTGTCGCTGGAAGGATTTGTGTACAAGTTAATTCTTCCTGAGAATCCACAATGGTTTCTTCCAGCAAATACTACGCACACTGACAAAACTTAAATATAGTAAACTACTTATGCCACTTACTAGACTAACTGGGGAACTGAAGGTCTCATTTCCCAAAAAGTGTTCATACTCAAAAAACCCCAGACTTCGACAAGAAAACGTCTCTAAAACACTTTAGCCACCTCTAACATACATCTCCATTAACTCAGTAAGACTTTTTAATCAAATACATGAATCCCCTGTACAGTCTTATTTATTAAGCATTTCCACTTTAGAAATCCAGCACTGGACTGGCACAGTCAAGTGCATCCCCTCTACACCCAGAATGGCAATCGAACTGCTGGTGCCAAGATTGAACATTTCTGCAAAATACAGAGTGCTTTAACTCTGCACCTTTCCACCAACTCGAAATAATCATAGCTACGAAGTTCCTGCCTCCCACCTCTGAGTTTTGCCATCCTTTGCCCATAGATCGGCTGCCCGTACTCTGTCGGGTGCATTGATTTGTCTTCCAAGCCAGTGGTCAACCAGGGAACAGGTCCACCAACGGGGAGGGCAAAGGGTGGCCTCTGCACCCTCCCCCTTGGCACGGCCTGGGGGCCAAGGAGCTGCCAGGGCCCCTTCCCGCCACCCACCATTTACCTGGAGCAGGTGGTGGGCCGCCAGGTATCCCAGGCGCGGCCCTCCCTGCACTCCGGGCGGCAGTCGCCCCGTGCCGTAGCCGTGCCAGGCCACCACGTAGGGGTTGTCCATGGTCAACCAGTAGCGCACCTGGCCGCCGAAGTGCCGGAAACAGAGCTCGGCGTAGTCGTGGAAGAGCTGGGGCAGGACGGGGCTGGCCCAGCCTCCAAAGGCGTCCTGCAGGGCCTGCGGCAGGTCCCAGTGGTACAGGGTGACGACGGGCTCGACGCCGACCTCCCGCAGGCGGAGCAGCAGCCGCCGGTAGTGCGCCAGCCCGGCGGGGTTGGCGGGCGCCGTCCCGTTGGGCAGCAGCCGGGACCAGGACAGCGAGAAGCGGTAGTGGGAGACCCCCAGGCGCCGCAGACCCTCGACGTCGCGGAAGACGTTGTTGTAGCTGTCGCTGGCCACGTCGCCGCCCACGGGCCCCGGCGGGGCGGCCCCCGGCGGCGTGGCCGGGCGGTGGGCGAAAGCGTCCCAGACGGAGGCGCCTTTGCCGCCCTGGCGCCAGCCGCCCTCCGTCTGGTAGGCGGCGCTGCCCGCGCCCCACAGGAAGCCGTCGGGGAAGGTGTCGTGGAGGAAAAGCTGGTCTTGTGGGTAGGGCAGCCGGGCGAAGCGGGACCAGGTCCCCGCGCCCTGCCCCGGCGCCCCCCGTGCCGGCCGCCCCAGCAGCAGCAGCAGGATCACGGGCAGCAGCGGCGCGGCGAGGGCCATGCTCCCGGCGGGGCTCCGCGACGGCAGCGCCCGCCTCCCACCTCCTCGCCGCCCCATTTTATCTCACCTCGCCCCCCCTTTCCCCCACGCCCCGGTGGGCACGGCCATTAATAATTACCTCGGAGCTGCCGCCTGCATCCTTCCCGGCCGGTTCCATCGGGGAGAGCTGCCGCCGGGCAGGAGATAGGGGGTGAGACGGGGCGGGCGGGAAGGAAGGGGGGGAAGCGGGGCGTGGGATCCTCGGGGAGAGGTGGACCCCGTCTTGCCGTCGGGTTCGCCTCTGTGTTCCTCCACGGCCCTTAGGGTGAAGATTCCCGTCCGCGGGCGGCAGGCGTAGCTCCGCAGCCCTTCGCCTGCCCCGCCGGGCTCCCGCACCTCGCTGTGGCTCCTGTGACCCCTCGGAGGAGGGACCGTCGCCCTCCTCCTGCCCTGCACCCTTTCCCTAAAATGGCTTTTCGGAGGAGCCTGCGGAAAGACTCGACGGCCGGATCCGTCCTCTCTGAGGGGCTGAGCGTAGCCCCCTCCCGTTCCCCGCTGCAGTGCCGCCGTCGGGGAGTCTGGGGTCCCTGCGCCGGGCCAAGGGGAGGGAGCGATTCGTGGGGCTGGAGGGAAAAGGCGAGGAAATAAAAACGATTTTCCCTTCACTCAGTATTTCCGTCGTGCTTCCTTGGCAAGACACATGGCGCTTGCGATCTCTCATGTAACAGTAGTTGCAGAGAAACTCGTTGTCCAAGGACATCATACACTCACTCCTCCCCGCCCCCTCCCCGGGAATTCGTGGGCTGTCACCTCCCGGTAACAACACTTTTTTTTCTAGGAGTAGGAGCTTGGTGTATTTGGTTGCTTACTGCACACAAAACAAATTCCAATTAGAAATGCCTCACGGATCTTTACGGGGAGGAAACAGATCGAGCTAAGTTTGCTTACTGAGTTACGCTTCTTAACTTACAGTTGAGCAGGCGTGATGCATGGACTGCTCTTTAAAGGAAGGTCTCGAACTGCCATTTTCATCTCCTTAGGACAAAACAGTTCAATCAGGACTACGAAGCAAGAAATAGCCCCACTCATTGCAAAACTTGGTATTCAGTTGTGTAAATTCAATATGTTTTGGGACATCTAAGAATAAAACATCTAGACAGGCTGTTAGGGTCAGGGAGATGTTCTCAGGAGATAAAGCTGTTGTTTAACTACAGAATCAAGGCATTTAGATAATTTCATTTTATTTATAGAAAATAAATGCCCTCGGGGGAAAATTATAGGTAATTGCTAATAATGAGTCGATGGATTTAAATGCCGGTTGTGATCTGATCTGACAAAGGTTTCTTCTAGTGCACAGAATGGGCTATCATCCCTCTTGAGTGCAGACAAGGGCATTTGCCATGCCTGTTTCTACAACTTCCGTCTTTTCTGCACTGATTCAGATCAGTTTTTGGGATTGATTTTTGCTGTTTTTCAAGAAGAGACCAAAGAAGAAGCAGGCAGGATTAGAGTTAGTCTTCCATTGCTGGTAAGTAATTGCTCTGTTAGACGGATGGAAGTCTGAACAGTCCAGGGGACCATCAACACCCCTTCCCTAAGGGAGGAAGTTTGTGGGGTGGGAACACGGGGTGGCAAGCCCAGAACCAAGGCTAGTCATTGTCTGCCAAGAGTAAGTTTGGGATACAGTCTGACAAGGTGCTGAAATTCAATTACAGTAAATTACTTCAGTTATGACAACAGAGCTGTAGCAACAGAAAAAGGTGTTTAGCACCGCCCACTAGTTACTTGCAGAAGCTGGAGGTTAGTTGTTAAATGCACAGGGGCATTGCTGCAGTTGTCCCTTAGCAAGGAATGAAGAGCCAGGTTCCTGTTCAGCTACAGACCTGATTTCAGGGAGGTGTAATGCCTTCACTGGATCTCTATGCCAAAGTATCTTAAAAATTGGGATGTAGAGGCATGTCTCAGAAATATCACAACCTAAAATAGGGTATTAGTGATGCTAAGTCCATTGATAACATTTAAGGAAAAAAAACTCACTGAGTCTCTAGGGACAAAAAAGATTTTGAGATACATCTTGATTCTCTTTTCATATGCTAATTGTTAGCTAAAACCTACATCAATCCTATTTATACTTGGGCAGCCCCAATAAGTAGGCACTTAGCTGAAGCTCCTTCATTAGGAGCTTGTTTTTTCCAGAGTCTGTCAACAATCAAAAGAAAGAAATAGCCTCATGGTGTTACTCTAAGTCAGTCTAGCCAAGATGTTTGTCAGCTTCTGGAAAAGGCTGCCTTCTTCAAAAACTGTCCAGAAAACCTACAGTGACTGTGTTTCTGATGCAAGCAGCCCATTTTTGAGGGACAAAATCTGACCATAAGTTGCTGGCACAATGCTGTCACTTCACCTGCATATCTGTTGGATGAAAACTTTTTTTTATTTATTTGAGGGGGATTTTAGTGTAAATGACAGAAAATATACAATGTGGCTTCCAATTACTTGTGGTTTTTTCTTACAAAGAAAGCTTGTTTTTGTGTTTTAGGACAACACAATCACTTACTGCTCTGAGCCAATGTATTTTTTTCTAACACACAGCCTAACAAATTGTTCAATATTAACCATGCAGAAAGGTCAGCCAAACACTTGCAGACATCCAGGTCTCCCTCACTGCTCCTTGAGTTCAAAGCGTGGTTCCACTAGGTCTGTCTTGCTGAGCAAGCACAATTCAAACTCTGTGCCAGATAAGCAGACCAAGATTTGACTTTCAGCCTCTTTGTATTGGTGATTACTGAACATTCAACTTTTGATAATACATGAGTGTCAATATAATTTTCCTGCAGGCTGTGCTGAGATTTTCTTTGCTAGGTATGCAGTCAGTGCATGCAACCAAATTTGGCAGTGTTCTGACTGAGCACTTCTGTTTCTATCCCAAAGAGCTTGAATCTTCTGGGATACTTAGGTAAAATAACTCTATTTCTGCCTTAGATTACTTTAACTGTTTTCTCTGAGGTCATATCATGCACTGGTTTCAATGCAGCCAATGCATTCCTCATTTTAAAATCTCCACAGAAGAGCTAACAGCCATACACCAGTAGCATTTATCATGGAACAAGTGGTCTCAGTGCCTATAACCACCATCTTCTGTTTTAATGCCTCTTCTCTATTCACCAGCATACTTCCAAATGGGTATAAGCATACAGTCCATTGAAAATAGCCTTGTGTAATAGAGTTACAGTCTCAGCATTTCATCTCAAGACACAAAAGTTTTCACTAACACTTGGGAAAACTTTTTTAAAAAATCACTGCCTGAATTAGACGAGCATTTTCTCTACTGCTTCCATCACTGCATAACAATACTCATTCTTTATTCTGTCCCTTAAATGCAAAGTGCTAAGCCGTCAAATTGTACTTCTACTTGCTGATCAATAGGTGTTTCCAGTGGAAAGCTGTGCAACAGCATTCTAGATTTACCTTCTCAGAATTATTTAGATACAGCTAGTAACTGATTGTATTGAAATTAGAAACATGGTGTTGTCAGGTCCAAAGCACACATGCTGGTGTAATGATTGCAGTGCTGAGGAATGCTTGGGAAGATGTTGAATTCTCCTCTCTTCCCCTCTGCTAGTCATAAGTACCAAATCACACTCATCTCCACTTTTTTTTTTTTTTTTAGCTGGAAAGGGTGGTAGAGAGTTTCAAATGCCTTTCTTTGAGTAATAACCACTCTAGTCTTCTTCTGCTGTTTCAAGTATCATAAATTCTTTTTATCTCATAAAGAACTCTGAATCAGTTCCCTTTTATTCTGTGGCAAGATCTAGTGCGAGGTGGAAAATTAGAAACCTAAACTGTAATCATTTTCCTTTTACCCTTTTGTAACTGTGTCTCCAAGAAGTGGACAAATCTTGAACATCCCCTTGTAGGAAAAGTAGAATTTCAAATACTTTGGCCCTTCTTACTTTTGAGGATAATGGGGAGTAACTTCAAGGCAAGCCTAGAAATTGCTATTTTATTCACATGGGGTAGGAATGACAATCTGTAACCTGGGAGGGGACACATAGGGTGTCTGGATGCTTCCTTGTACATAGGTGGCTGGGGCTGCAAAGCCTTCCAAGTCTTACACACCCTCCATCAGGGGAACCATTAAACACATTTCAGACTGTGAATCACAGAAAGTGATGGGAAAGGGATGAAAGGCGAAACACCATCTTGGAAGGCCATTTGAAAATGAAATCTTGTAAATGGTGTCTCATAATTCTGGGAGACCACAAACACTTCCCATTACCCAGATGACAAGACAAGAGTTTGTAGATGATCTCCCTGTCTTCAAAAGTGCTTTCTTTATTGGTGAAAGAAGGATTGGGCAAACACAGAAGGGAAAAGAAATTGCCTCTGTCCTAAGAAGGGAGATAGTGAAGAGGCCTTGCTCTTCCTCTCCTGGGATGGAGACATGAGCTTGGCTGGCTAAGAGGGGTCCAGAGCTGAAGGATAAGAGAAAGGAGAGAAGAATGCTCCCTGCCAACTCCAGCCATGCAGCTCATGAGCCACAGGCTTTAATTGTGTTTTAGGCAGGAACCAAACCCTGGGTGCAGTGGATGAAGAAATGGACCTGTCTCCCCGAAGTCTGCTGAGTCTGTGTGAACAAGCAAAGGTGAGTGTCCAGGGAAGTTGCAGACCAAATAGGGAGTTGCCTAATCCATTTTGGCTCTTTAGGATAGAAAATTCTGGAATGCAGAGCAACTGGATCACTTAAAGGATTGAAATAGAGTTGCACGCCTGTGAAAATCCCAGTCTGTGGTCTCTGCTGCAGTACAGAAAGGACCAGAAAGATGATTTCACTCTTCTCACTTCTGTTTTAATTTCTATTTGTGATACGTTGTTATCATTTTGGAGCCAATTTCATTTGGTCTCCACAGGATGTCTCGAAAACTTGAATCCTGTCTCTCAGTCCAGAGCTGACAGCACTCTGGAGACACAAATAGTGACTTTTCGTATACAGCCATCCTATCTCTTCAGTTCAGGCCCAGCTGAAGCATTTCCTATCACTCTTCAAATTCCTAGTATTTTAAAACTTCTGCCAAAATGGCACATCTTCTATGAAAAGAAAGATCCACAGGGATTCAAATGAAGAAATAAAAAGCATTACTATTAAAAAATGGAAATGCAATGCTGAGTTTTATGTACATGAAAGTTGAATGTTTTATGCGTTAAATTCATTCAGGGAAGAATATACTGCAAAATTACTGCTAGCATCATATCTTTAGATTACTTTCTGTAGGTAAATTGATAAGAATGACTCCTGCCAAAATCATACACCAGGACAAGTTAGTATTTGCTAAATCTGTATTTCAATAAGCAGTTGAATGACACCTCAGTTCACATACTTACTTCTTGTTGGTTTCTGCTCATGAAAATATTGATATCATTTACTGCAAGGCAAAGACTGGGTCACAAAGAAATAGAAGTGGTTTTAAAAAACTGCTGTAGTGTATTAATTCTTTGTAAGATTTTCTGCCTAAATGACTCTCCTGCAGCTAAGAGTTATATCACTTTAAACTGAACTGAGCTGAAGCTTTGTAAACTAGTAATTTAAAATACATTGCACTAAGCTGCTGAGACACTAAATGTACAGACAACACAGACTGCAAACACATAAACATTTTTCAGGGCTACAGGCATATGATGTTCTTTAATAAACACAATTATTATATTATACAAAATCAATTTTCACTGAACAGCACAAACTTAGTCCTGTGTGAAGTGTGTAATACTGAAATGTGATTTATAGTCAACTGAGAAGTCATTTAGTCTTTTAATGATGCTTCATACTAACATAATGTACTTGGGAGCCATTTCAGTTACTCTAGCAAGACTCTACTCCTGTGTTTCCAAGATTGGCTCAAAACCATTAGGAAATCAAGACATTTATTACCAGAACAGTATGTATGCACAGTTTAGGGTTTATCTCTTCAAATGTGGTTGAGGAGTTGAACCAGATTAGGCTAAAATAGAGTATGCTACAACAGTCAAGACTTGAAAAGTAGATCTTCTAATAAAATAAAAAAATACCTTGACAATTACTGCAGCAAATTTCACCTCTGAGATATGAAAGCATAGATGCATGGACAGTAACCAAAGCATTTTGCATTAAGCATTTCTTCACAACTGCTATCCATAAGAATTGGTGCACTACTTCAAAAACTGAAAGTCTAATAATTCCCATGTTAAATAGGACTGCGGTTATGAAATTTAAACTTTGTAGCTGGGCATCTAAGTAACGAGAAGCCTTTGGTCGGTTCATCACACATTGTCTCTGCTGCTCCTTCATCTGCAGGGGGAAGCAATCTTGTAGTTAGTTATACAAGGGCAATTGGATTACAGAGTAGGCTGCTGTGATTGCTGCTCATTGTGTAACTGAGTGAGAACTGAATGTCTCTCGCTCCTCATTTCTCTGAGCTTTCCCCCTTTGTACACCTTTCTTACTACAAGTTATAGGCTGTGTCTGATTAGTATTATTCTGTACAAGAGATAATGCATTACTAAGAGCTCCGAATTGTACTGTAATAAGGCCAGCAGTCTACACTTTTAAGCTATGTACTGGAATATAGCAACCCCTTGCTTGTTTCTTCTGGTTCTCTCCTCTTCATGTTTAGTGATCATCTTATTGCTCTGTACTTTATATCAAATTCTGTGTGCCCAACTTCTAGCTATTTCTTGAGTATTTCAGTATCACTTCACTGAAGTGAGGCACATGTTTGGCTACTCAGGAAGAGTTTAGGAGTATAGTTAGGTCATGTAGAAAGAAAATTAGAGAGATGAAGGCACAACTTGATCTTGTCACATCTGCGAAGGATAACAAAAAGTCCTTCTACAGATACATCAATAGCAAAAGGAGGGGCAAGGAAAACCTCCATTCTTTATTGGGCATGGGCAGGAATATAGTTATCAAAGATAAGGAAAAGCTGAGGTATTTAACACCTTCTTTACCTCAGTTTTCAACAGTAAGACAGGTTGTCCTGAGGACAGCTGGCTTCTGGAGCTTGTAGAAAGAGATTAGAATCTGAATAGCCCCCCTGTAATCCAGGTGGAAACAGTGACCTGCTGAGCCACTTGGATCCCCACAAGTCTATGAGACCAGATGGGATCCATCCTAGGGTGATGAGGGAGCTGGCAGAAGAGCTCGCCAAGCTGCTCTCCATCATCTACCAACAGTCCTGGCTCACTGGAGAGGTCCCAGATGATTGGAAGTTGGCAAATGTCACACCAATCCACAAAAAGGGCCAGAAGGAGGACCTGGGAAACTATAGGGCTGTCAGCCTGACCTCAGTGCCTGGCAAGGTTATGGAGCAGATCATCCTAAGTGCAATCACACAGCTCCTACAGGATGGACAAGGAATTAGACCCAGCCAGCATGGGTTTAGGAAGGGCAGGTCCTGTCTGACCAACCTGATTTCCTTTTATGATCAGGTGACCTGCCTGGTGGGTGAGGGGAAGGCTGTGGATGTGTCTACCTGGACTTCAGCAAAGACTTTGACACCATCTCCCACAGCATACTCCTGAAAAAGCTGGCAGCCCACGGCTTGGACAGCTGTGGGACACTCTGTGCTGGATTAGGAACTGGCTGGAGGGCCGGGCCCAGAGAGTGGTGATGACTGGTGCTGCATCCAGTTGGCAACTAGTCACTAGTGGTGTCCCCCAGAGATCAGTGTTGGGCCCAGTTCTATTTAATGTCTTTATTGATGATCTGGATGAGGGGATTGAGTCCACCATCAGCAAATTTGCAGATTGGAGGGGAGTGTCGATCAGCTGGAAGGCAAGGGGGCTCTGCAGAGGGACCTGGACAGTCTGGAGAGTTGGGCTGATTCCAGTGGGATGAGGTTCAACAAGGCCAAGTGCCGGGTCCTGCACTTTGGCCACAAGAACCCCATGCAGCGCTACAGGCTGGGCACAGAGTGTCTGGAGAGCAGCCAGGTAGAAAGCGACCTGGGAGTTTGGATTGACAGGAAGCTGAACAGGAGCCAGCAGTGTGCCCAGGTGGCCAAGAAGGCCAATGGCATCCTGGCCTGGATCAGGAACAGTGTGGCCAGCAGGTCCAGGGAAGTGATTCTTCCCCTGTACTCAGCACTGGTGAGGCCACACCTTGAGTACTGTGTCCAGTTCTGGGCCCCTCAGTTTGGGAAGGATATTGAGGTGCTGGAGCAGGTCCAGAGAAGAGCAATGAGACTGGTGAAGGGACTCAAGCACAAGTCCTATGAGGAGAGGCTGAGAGAACTGGGGTTGTTCAACCTGGAGAAAAAGAGGCTGGGGGAGACCTCATCACTCTCTACAACTACCTGAAAGGAGGTTGTAGCCAGGTGGACATCAGTCTCTTCTCCCAGGCAACTATAAGTAAGACAAGAAGGCATGGTCTTAAGCTGTGCCAGGGGAGGTTTAGGTTGAATATTCTTTATTCTATAAAGAAATTCTTTAGAGAGAGGGTGATCAGGCATTGGAATGGGCTGCCCAGGGAAGTGGTGGATTCTCCATCCCTGGAGGTGTTTAAGATGAGACTGGATGTGGCACTTAGTGCAATGGTCTAGTAACCACGGTGATGTTTGATCAAGGGTTGGACTTGATGATCTCGGAGGTCCCTTCCAACCCAGTTGATTCTATGAGTCTATGATTCTATGATTCTATGATTAACATATGGCCTTGCTTTACCCACATCTGAAATCAAAGGAGGTTTACTTTTTTGAGCAATAAGATACTCATCTCTTCCTTAGAGTGATATTAGAGAAAGGATAATATTTAACAGTGTCAAGATCTTAATACTTCTTCCTGAGCAGGAGCTGGATGGTTTAGGTTATTGCCCTCTTTAAGTGATGGATCTTACAACCTCTTCTTTAGAACAAAATGTCAGGGGCAAAACAGGAAGCCATATGTGCTACCACAGCCTTCAGTATCATGAGATAGTGTTTATGAGACTATTTTGAATGTTCTCAAGGTCAGTGATTAGACTTCCACCAGCCACTCTGATTCACCCCTACAGTGTATATCTGCAAATCAAAGAAGGATGAGCAATCTCATAAAGAAGGACGAGCTGTGCGGCAGTTATAATGTGGGTAGCTGAAGGTAGGAGTAACAAAAATGCCACAATGATTAAGCAACACGTGTTGGCACATCAATGTTTCAGTTCTCCGAGTCCAGCAGGTAACTTCAGAAAGTATTAGTATCTGAGGGATTCTAAGGAAAAAAGTGTTTGGTATGTCTGCTCATTGGCTATGAGGAAAGTCCCAAACTGCAGCTGAAGGAGGTATCAATTAAGCTTTGATATATGTGAATTTGAGCTATATGTAAGGAAAGTTAAGCAGGCTTATTATCTAAAATTGTTGGGCCTCTAGGAAGGCTATCTACTGTTTGGAACATCATCTAAAGTAAGTGTAAATATTTCATTATAGTGCTCTTTCATACGTGTGCAGAACACAACCAATGCAAAAATTCAGTTTGAAAAAAAAGCTTTGCAGCCCCTGTAACTATTTTCAAATGCATTCATTGCTGGAAGAATGTACGCCCTTACCACCATGGTGCATGTATTCTTCATTCAAACCTATTTTTTGTTTTTAAATTGCAAAACAATTTCTTTGTAGCAAAAAATATTTTGTATATACACGG